GATTTACGCGTAAGCAAAAACAGCCCATAACACTGTTTCCAATAAGGCAGTCAATATGGCGGAATTAGAGCGAGAAGCTGCCAATTGATAACACCTTGTATTATTGCATCATGCGAATTGCACTTGAACTTCTGACACCAACACGCTACTTTTGACAGCAATACAAAAATGAGAGATAAATAACTTTAGATACAGATGGCGCTATAAGCAAAAACCACAAACATAGATGTTGCTATACTAATTAAATACTAGGGCTGCTACATACATTTTTTATAATTTGTAAATTTTTTATTATTTGTAAAGAATTGGGATTCTAGCACAGATATCAAAATTTCTGTTCTTGACAAATTATTAAGATTCAAAATGCTATTGAAAAGCGTTCACAAATTTAAGTTTAATGTGAAAACTATAAATTTTGTATATACAAATAGTTATTTGTTTTTGTTATTTAAATACTGTAAACAGTGTTGCCATTTTAGCATTTTCCAGCTAAATTTAGCCGGTTGCGATAGCAAAAAGCCGGAGAAATTTCGGTTTAGCTGGAAGTCGATTAGTTAGCAGTTTTGCAAAAAAAATAGCCGTTTTTAGCCGATTTTGCTATTCACCTGTTTTCTTAAAATTCTAATATATACATATGCTTCAATTTTTTGCGAAGCGATCCAAAATCTGTAAGAAATGCCTGATTAGCCTTATCGTGGAGAAAATTTTCAGCGTTATATAAAATTGGGCCGATTTCGCTTATTTTTATTTTAAACGAATATATTTTTTCTAAAGAAAGCCGTAACGATTTTCTTCATAAAATGTTTGTTATGAATGACTTAAATTTAAGTGTAAAACTTAGAAAATAATGTGGCGAATACTGCAGCAACGCGAAGCGAACAACGAGAAATTGGCAGAATGTTCGAGGAATGACGTAGAATGTTCCACAAAGAGAAACGTCAAGTTGGATGAACACTGCGAACAGCGAGAGAAAGAGAATGAGCGATGAACTTCAGAACATTCTAGAGTTGCCATGAGTGCGAGCTCAGGTATATAAGAGCCACCACACAACGGAGTGAGTTAGTTACAAGTCAACAAGCTACAAGTAAATTGAGTTGCGAATAAGCAAGCTATAAGTTTAATTGTGTTAACAAGTTTTGTAAAGCATTGTAATTGCTTTAACGAGTATTGTAAAGTGTTTTTACGGTATTAGCGAGTATTGTAAACTGTTTGTTGTACAATAAAGTTAACTGTACTACAATTTGGTCATCGTGAGCATTTATTTAACAATCCAGCGATACGAGCCGGATGATATTTGGGAAATCCCTCAAGGTTTCGAGGATAATCGTAACAATAACAAATTGTTTCACTTTTTGCTTAACACGTGTTTGTGTTTGGATATAATGCCAAGAATAAATGTTACAGGAACCTTATGGTGCATTTACATGGTATGAATCTGAATTTTTCTATAAAAGAAGCACCAGCTCTATAAAGAAATGAATGAAAGCGATATATATTTAACAATTTTGACTTATATACTCGGCAATATTTTTTTTGTAAACAACAAATAAAAAAATTTTATTTTGTGCTAGCTTCGAAACTAGAAGCTTATTTTTGATGTGTATACATCTTTGGTTTCGGTAGGGGTAAAATTTGCGAAGCTGTAACGCATATCCCAGCACAAAATTTTGAAGGGCTTAGCATGTGTATTTCAGCATAAAATTTTTATTTTCATTAGAAGCGCCCTGTGTTCGCTTTCCAAATGGTTGCATACATTTAGGCATATGCATAGTAAGAGGAAATGCGCTACAATTGATTATTAGCCGTCATCGATTCGCCATCAGTTAGCAAGTGGCGAAACGAACGAACTCAATGAGGTACAACCAAACTTGCTATCGTCTATCCGTGCTAGCTAACTTTGTTGTTGCTTTCACATGCACAATTTTTGTTAAGCGACCGGAACTCAAACATAGCGAGCGAGAAGTGGCGAATCGACGACGGCATGGCATCCTATGACACCCACGATGCATAAGATACTAGCCGTCATCGATTCGCCAACATTTCGCGAGTGGCGAAACGAACGAACTCAGTGCTTATCTTTGTTGTTGCTTTCACATGCAAAATTCTTCTTTAAACGACCGGAACTCAAACATAGCTAGCATCGAAGTGGCGAATCGATGACGGCTACTAATTCCTTATTAAGAATAGGACAATTATCGGGGAGGCTCAAGATGCCCACAACAAACACTACCGAGAAAATTATTCCCGGAAGTTGTAACCGTGACATATATAACCGGCTGTTGATGAGCTCGGACTCGTTTTTAAGCAGTATTTCGGTTCATGACCAAAAAAAGAAAAAATATCAAATCGTTTTCCCCAGACGCTATAAAGCTGCTGTTACCCTCTAAATCCGTTGTCAAGGATGTGACAAAGGAATAGTTTGAGGTCAGCGAAGATTCTAAAAGCGAAAACTAATTAACCAATGATAGTGTACACACATTTTATAAATAAAGGTAGTCAATATATTTAAATAGTAAATTATTGGCTAATATATATATTTTATTAATATAACCTATCTGTAATACAAATTATTTCAATTTTACATATGATAAACAATTTTGAGTAGATAGAGGCAATAAAATATTTTTTGCCGCATAAAACTTGAGAATCTACCTATATGCGGTGTTTCCAAGATATTTTAACGCCCTTGAGTCACAAGTGTAATGTACAAGTATATTTTATCAATCATACCGATAATGTCATGTATTAAA